ATGGCCTGGCCTGACAAAGTGACATTTATGCCAGATCCGACCCTCATAACAAATGAGTTTGACACCTCTGCCTTGCAGCATAGCCTCCCAGACCCAGGCAGTTCTGCCAATACCACGAGATCACTGGCCAGACGTCCTGTTTTGCTTCATCACAGCAGTCTGGGCACTGCTTACCCAGGAGCTGATATTTAAAGGTTCTCTCGTTGAAGGGGTCTTCGACACCACAGCGGGGCTGCTGCATCTGGGTGAGGGTTGCTGCATCCACTTGGCCATTGGCAGGCAATCCTGAGGCCATCTGGAAGGACCTAGAAGAGGAGAAGCAGGAAAGGGAGGGGAATGAGTCTGAATCCTGTCCCTAGGTGCCTCGCTTCCACACAAGATGAGATCCAGGGGGAGTCAGAACGGGTTTGTAGTTTTCAGGGATGGAGGATGACCAACCAAACAACTCATCCCCTCACAGAATAAACAATTAACCTTCAGAAATCAGTGACACAGAAGGTCACAACGGTCAGTAACACAGATCGAATTGTTAAAGGATTAGAAGTACAAATCAATCACTAGTTACTTGCCATGACAGTCAGAAGCACAACATCCCTGCTTGGTAGGGTTACCAACCTCCCGCTCTTGCAATTGATCGCCAGGCGACCAAGATCAGTTCCTCTGGAGAAGATGGCTGCTCTGGAGGGTAGTCTATTTTGGCATTATGCCCTGCTAAGGTTCCTCCCCTCTTCAAACCCCACCCTGCCTAGGCTCCACCCCCAAAATCTTTAGGTATTTCCCAACTCAAAGCTGGAAAACCCGACTGCTTAGAAAGGGTGTGTCCTTGATGAGCAACTAATTTGTACAAGGAACCCTGTTTTCAGTGTTGCAAGGGGTGAAGGATCAGGTACACTTGGCTCTGCCCAGAAGATGGAACACAGAAACACGGTTTTGTTTTGGGAGGTTGTAACTATGGCAGGAGTGGGGTGGGGAGTACTTGACCCATCCATTGGCTCTTTGCATCAAACTGCCCTCCTTAGCCTTTGGCTTGAATTGAGATATTTGGACTGAAGTGGAAGGCAGGAAAGGTTAAGTGCCTCCCGTTTCCCACCACTTTTCCACCCAAATCACCCCCTTCCTGAAGTAGCTTTTCTCTACTTCACAACCTCTTTCCTGCCCAATGTTTTAATGGTTGTTTTTATGGTTTTGTATGCATTTTAGCTCTGGTTTTAATTGTTTTTATGATGTGATTTTGGTTGGTTTTAATGGTTTTTAAGATACAGTTTTATTATGTTTTAATTTGTTAGTCACCTTGGTGGCCTTACAAATGCAGAAAGGCATGGCGTGAATTTTGTAAAACAAATAAAAAAGGATAAAATGGCCACCTGGAATTTTGTTATAGGTTACGAGCACACAATTTTTAGTTAAGCCCATAAACAAAGAGCTCTTTACTCTAGAGAAGTTAGAACTGCATTCTCTCTGGGCTCCTTAGATGCTTATTTCTGTGCACAAGCCAAGTCATAGATAAATAGGTGTGAGGAGGTGGAGATGCATAAAGTGAGAACTCTACCCCAGTGTCTGTTGGTATCCCCTGAGCCCTTTGCAGTATGAGGACTAGCACAGGAGTCGAAAGGCATAACAGAATGTCCCTAGGATTGTGCTGGGGCCCAGACTGCAAATGGCTGTCTGTTATAGCATGTATAGCCCTGTCAAGGATGTTCATGCTCTATGCTTTTGCAATGACACTATGCACAAGTAAGATTTGCCATGGGGAATCTCAGTCTTCTTTTCGAAACAAGGACTTATGAGTACAATGGTACTTTGCAAAACATGGGAATCTTAGAAGGGCTTGGTTGACCTTTCAGTGGTCAGTTGTTCTTGGCTTCCCCTAAACACAGAATATACTATAAAAATAAGCAAACCTATATAAACTGCTCGATTCAAGTCAAGTAGCACCTTAAAGACCAACAACATTTCTACAGCAGGCTTATACCCTGGAAATCCTGTTGGTCTTTACGGTGCTACTGGACTTCAGTCCTGTTGTTCTATTGCAGGCCTACAAGGCTACTTACCCCAAACTACTATAAACTGGATTCATTTGCTCAATTTACCAGTGATGAAGGCTGACAGACAATCTGGATTTCTTTTTAATATAGCTTTAATTGTGACCATTGATCTGATCTAATACTGCAATCATACAGCAGTCTTGTTCTCCTCATGCCCATTGGTAACAGCAGAAGGGGGATCTGGAAATTATATTTCCCAGCTTCTAGAGCAAAGGTCCTCAACGTGGCACCCGCCAGGTGTTTTTAGAAAGTGGGTAAGGCCAGGTGGGGCTTTGGCCAAGCAAGGTTTCTGATTGGCCATTGGAGATTTGATTGGCTGTGCAGATTTTCAAAACCATTGCCTTGATAGCAGCTGCTGCCACAGCACAAGGATCTTCACTGTGTGACTGAAGGAAAGCTGCAGCACCCATTTTGCGGCTGGCTTTGCCTCCAACCGCAGCCATTTTGTGGCAGCCACTTTGTGGCTGCACCCACCACACTGTGTCAGAATTCTAAAGTCGTCCACAGGCTCAAAAGGATTGGGAATCCCTATTCTAGAGGATGGTGAGGTGAAGATATTGGGAAGTGTATCAGGAATCAGAATTTCTGGGTTCAGAATTTCTAGCTGCTTTGAACATGACTTCCACAGGAGATATATGATGGGGTTGCATCACCTACATTGACAGGCCAAGCTGCATTTTGGTCTTTGATTCTTTTGGCTCTAATTTACCTCACAGCATCTGCAATCTCTTCTTTTGTGAAACCATCTGTGACCTGTTCCAGAGGCTTCTGAAGATAGCCAAACTGCATCAGGTATTCCTGGAACAGCAAAAAATACTTCGTCAAGCCACTCCAATTACTTAATTGGTTAGCACAGTCCAAAAAAACTGAACAGATAGGCAGACATGGGTGTTCTGGTCCTGTTGTGGAGAGATCTGTCTCTGTGGTAATGAGAAATTGGTGCACAGACCACAGTCACATTTTACTTTTCCCACAATGTTTCCTGTCTCTTGAGAAGCACATTCTTTCTTTTATAGGGAAACTATGGAGAGGAAGGTAATTAGACAGCAATAGAGAACTTTGTACTCCTTGTCCCCTTTCCCGGATTAATAGCGTCATGTGGAAACAAGGAATACTTATAATTCCCATGTCTACCTTTCTGTCCTATTAGGCCTTATCCTCCAACATCATCGATATATCTAATTCTCAACATGGCCAGATCTGTGGATGCTTAAATCTGAAAATTGGAGACATTAACAGACAAGACAGATCTTTCTACAAACCTGGAAAACGCCTCAGTTTTGCAGAAAAATCTGAAATCTTGAAAAAATACAAGGGACTAAACTCCGCCCCCAGTAATAGAAGCAGTGCCTGTAGCTTTAAGAATCGAATGCCCTCAGTGGCCATTGCTAGGCAACCACACAGTATCGCCAGCCTTCAAACCTTGCTTTCAATCATTAAAGGCAAGGGGAAGGGAAGGGCTCTTTACAGTGCTGTTCTGGCCTTCAGGGTGGGATTTATTGGGGCCAGGGCTTGAAGCAATCACTGAATGGCTTGATACAATGCAACTTGCATGACTCACCTAGGACTGGCTGCTTGCTACTGTTTAACAGCTGCTATCCAATATAGTCAGTACGGCGCAGTGGTTAGAGTTTCAGCCTAGGATCTGGAAGACCCAGGTTCAGATCCCCATTCTGCCACGGAAGCTCACTGAGCAACCTTGGGCCACTCAAACATTCTTAGCCTCACCTACCTCACAGGATTGTTGTGAGGATGAAATGGAGGAGATGATAATGATGTAAGCTGTTTTGGGTCCCCATTGTAAATGAAGTAAATAAAAATATAGCTGAAGATGAGGGGTAGATAAAAGTTAGATTGGCTGGTGCATAGGAGGGAGAGAAGGAAGCAGGGATAGAGTTTTGCCCAAAATAGGAGACCGTTGGAAAGAGAAAATAGTATGGGAAGGTTAGGGTTGCCAGGTCCTGTGCTCTTGCTGGCGGGGGTTGGGAGGAAGCTTTCTGGGAGTGGGGGGCGGGGTGACGTCACCATCTGTGACATCCCTGATGTCATGCAGAAGTGACAGACATCATCATGCTGGGACGTTGTGCGGCGATGCTCTGGTATTCTGGGCAAAACTCTATGGTTACTTACCATACCTGGGGGTAGATAAAAGTTAGATTGGCTGGTGCATAGGAGGGAGAGAAGGAAGCAGGGATAGAGTTTTGCCCAAAATAGGAGACCGTTGCTGTACAATGTCCCCAGCATGATGATGTCATTTCTGTGTGATGTCATCATGCTTGTGATGTTGTGTCAGGTTGTGGCAGTTGCGGTGGGCTTCTGCCCACTGGACAACTGGCTGGCAGTGGGCAGGAGCCCGCAAAATCAGGGGATCCCCCACTCCCACTTTGGAGCTGGCAACCCTAGGAGGTGATATAGGAGAAAATACGTTTCCCCTCTCCTTGCAGGTTCCCCACTGTGGAACTGAGATCAGTGTCTGGCAATGCACATCTGGCCCTGACACAGCAGCTGACAGGGCACAACTTGGCCATAGTTCTTCAAAGTAAAGGCTGCGAGGAGGACAGACAGAGAATGCTGAAGACAGGGAGGCAGATAAAGGTAAGTTGACGGGGCAGGAAAAGGGGAGATGTTATGGGGGCTTTTAGGAAAAGGAAGGATGAAATATTGGTGGAAGGACAAAGGACATGCCCCCCACAGGTCCTTGTGGGTCCCTGACGTTAATTCATAAGAGCCCCAGTTCTTCACTCCCGGAGGGCCCTTTGTCTCTAGCCATAGAGTGGGAATTTTCCCACTGTCATCTACTTTAGTCAGCAAAAAGACATCTGCAAATGTTTCCCACGTGTGATTTTTTTAAAAATACATAATGATTTCATTTTACTAGGGCTGTGTTCAGATGCCATGAGCTGCAATTAAACTGAGATCAGGCATGAACACAGCTCGTTGCCATGTCTGCACTTTCCCCTTCCTCCTTGGGCAGAGCTGGATTAAAAACTCCTTGGTCTGATCAAACTCCGTGATGTCCAAATACTGGAGCTTGATGACTGCTGACACATTTGGGATTCTAAACCTCAGTTTCACTTTAGAATTCCTATTTGCTGGGTGTAAGGAAACTACTTTTCAACTGCCCTCATTCAGCAGTCCTTTTGGATCAAACCAGGAAGTGTTTGATTGGTGGAAGGGCAGGGAGATGGGAGGAGCGGAGCACATAAGACCAGCAGACAAGCTGTGTTCGTGCTCAATCTAAATTTAATTGCCGCTTGCTGCAAAGTCTGAATGGAGACAAAATTATGTTTTATTTTAATTAACATTTTTAACAACATAAGAGTTGGTTTCCATAGTGCTGTTTACAAGACATTTAGCTGGTGGCATTTCACAGCTATTATTTCTAATGCTGTCTTCTTTGTTTGTTCATGTAATTGTACATTTTACAATTACATAATTCCTCCCCCCAACCATTAATGCTGCTTGAATGGTATACAATGTCAAAAAGGATAGGATATTTTTTTAAAGACAGTATATTATGGGTTTGATGCTATTATATATGCAGAGTCAGTGGGCACTTCTGCATTTGTCATTTTTGTCACTCGTTTGTCCTTATTACTTCAGGGTTCCCCCCCTCTTGTGTTTTACTCTCTCTAGTAGTCTCGACCCAAAGGGAGCAAAACATATGTGGAAAGGGGGGGAATGACACCCAAAGTAGATAGAAAGTTGAATTTGGAGTAGGGTTCAGTCTTGCTCAGCCATGAAATTTTGCTAGGAGGTCTCAAGTAATTTACGATCTCTTAGTCTAATCTATCCCATGGGATTATTGTTAGAGGTTCATAACCCTGATCTTCTTGAACAAAACATATAATGAGTAATTTTTCATACTAAAGAAGTCTCATCCAGTTTAGCCTTGTGTGCATCCTTCTTGTATAACTGCCTTCCTAGGTTTTGTTGAACAATTTACCTTCCCTTTTTGCATCCCAATGGAGTCTTGTTCTTAAAGAACAAGAAGATTTTCTACCAAACTGTCATGTGTGGGGGTGGGGTGGGGATAAGGTACTCTGTATCTCCTATGGGCGAAATGAAAGGCACTAGAACATGGGAATGGATTTTTCTTGATTTGATGTTACCTTGCTATCTTCTCCATTTGTGATGGTGGTATGAAAGTTTCTCAAAAATGACAGACATGTATGTATATACCTTACCATATGTGACGTACATGCAAGCTGTACACATGGAATATCCATATGTTGTCCAATTCACATGAAATGGCCATTGTGTGTATCAGAGGTATTTTGGAAACCACATGCTCCCAATATGTGCAGTCTGCGGGCTCCCAGTTCATGGGGACATAAAGTCTGAAGAAGTCTATTACTTTTGCAATGTTATCCACTTTCATTATGTATTCCTGGTTTTTTTTTAATGGCCTGCTGTTCACTTTATTGTCTGTGGTGTTGCCCATCAGTTTTTCCATCAGATCCAACAGGACGAGCCTATAACGATAAGTGGAAGCTGCCACAAAATATGGGCTGCATTACTGACATCCCCCTAGAAGATCAATTAGTGCAGACTGTTTCCATCCTTACAACGGGTTAGATCTAGTGATCCATCTGTGGAAGGTGGCAACAGTCACAGATCTTTCCAGCATTCCTGTCCTCTAGCACTCAGACTTTGGGAATGTTTATTCCTGGAGTCAAGGGATCAGCATGGACTAATAGCCATGTGGGTTGGGAGGCTGCAGTGGGGAAGAGGTAAAATCACCCTTTCTGCCTTTTCTGGAGGGTGATTTTACCTCCTTTCTCCACCTCATTGCAGCCTTCCAACCCACATGGCTATTAGCCCATGCACATCCTGAATCTCTGGGAATAAGTTTTCCCAGGGTCTGACAGAAGCTATGTTCCCTCTAAGCTGTGGAGGCTTGTGAGCAAAAATCCTACTTTGTGAGCTACTGGCATAAAAGCTGTGAGCGAGTGATTTGGCTACTGCATGAATTAGTTTGCTCTGGAGCCCTCCTTCCAGAGCGGAGACAAAAATGTGTGAGCCGGAGGCTGAAAAACGGTGAGCTAGCTCACACTAACTCAGCTTAGAGGGAACACTGGACAGGAGTGCAGTCTACAGTCCTTGTGTCCACAGGTCACTGGATCCAACCCAATGAAGCTCCAATGGGACTACACTTCCCGCTCTTCAAAGGGATATCTTATTCTGTAATCACACCCCACATCTTTTCATATGCCTGAGACCATCCCAGACTGCATAACTGCTGGGAAATTTACTCTCTTTCAGAACCTTCCTATTTCACCTTAAATCCAAAAAGCAATACAAAATAGACTAATATTTTAAAGGTCTTCAAAAGTCAATTTCCATCATACACAAAGATCCATTGCTCACCCCAAGTCACTGTCATTTTAGAGAATCTGCTGTTCTGAATTGGGATCCTGCATTCCAATTTGTTATGTTCTTTTGTAGGGATTCAGCACCTCATTTTGAGCTAGCTCACACTAACTCTTTTAACTGTATGCAGCTGCTGTCCCCCGCTCCTCTTCTGCCTATGACAACTCCTTGCTCATACCCAGTTTGAATATCTTGGCTTATTCATTATGACCTCCTCAGTACATGGAAAACTGCAAGTTTTATAATTATGAATCATCTGGATGATCAGGTTGCCACAAGCAGGGAATCACCAAGGGCAGAAGGAAAGAGGTCTCTATAAGCAGTGCGGTGGTACATGTAGCTAGAGAAAGAAAATAGCGTATTTGTATACACTTTCTTTTAGTATTTTCTGCACAGCTACAAATCCTTAGCTTGCCCTTGTTTGCAAGAGACCTCAAAGGAGCCCAAAGGAGCTTGCTAATTTAGCTCAGAAACGGGTGCTTCAGCACTTCCACCACTCTTCTATTTGCACTCAGACCACAAAATCACTCAAAGAAGGATGGAAACTCACAGCCATATCTTGTGGTACATTCTTCCCAGAGTCAGAGTACCTGTTTTTCACCACTGTTTTATCAATGCTCATGCACACAGAGCGATCAGCTTTCTTCCCGATGTTATGGAAAGGCCCAGACAACCAGGGCTTCCCTTGGCCAAAGATATTTGCCACAGGTTTCCTGTCCCCTTTGGGACCAAGGAATACTTTGCTTCAGAGTGAGATTTACAAGTTTAGTTGGAAAAGGAAAAGTTCCAGGTTAGAGGAGATGGCTTGGAGAAAGCTTAAATAAAGTGTCTGAACTGAAGCTCGTGAGAGAGTCCAAGGTCAGTAAAGTCTGAGTTTAGGCTAGCGCACCAGAAATTCTACCCAGCTTTCTCACTCTCTTTCCTGCAGTCCCATCTCTGCAAACTAATCAACCCCAGCACAGCCTGGATCCTGCAAGGAAAGGAGGTCGTCAGAGGTCTACATACCAGGGCTTCTTTCTCCTCCACCCGATTGACAGCTGCACCTTTGGCGGACAGGAAAGAAGCGTAGACTAAGAGGAGCAGTTTTGGCCATGGCATCTTCATACCTAATTTCTCTGCAGTCTTCACCAGCAACAGTTTCTTAGGAAACCCTGGATACTTTACTGATCTCTTTAGAAACCGTTTCCCTCCTCTTTTTTCTTTTCTTTTTCTTTTTCTTTTTTTTTGCAAATTGACCAAAGCAGTTCTGGATCTGTTTCTCCACCTCCTCTTTCTCCTCGCTCAGGCTTTGCTCTGCCCTCTCTGTTCCCTCAATCCTTCCAGGCCTTCCCTCCCCCTTTCCCAAGTTTATAAATCTCCCAACAGCAGTAGTGAGTCATTTCCAACCAAAACATGTTGCAACCCTAACCCTGGAGCCCCCGGGAGTGTTAACCCTTTGCAGAATCAAGATTCTCTCAGGGGACAAGCCAGCGGTAACAGCTTCCTCTCTCACTGACCTTCCTGTGGGCCCCTTGTTAAGAGAAAGGCTGCCAGCCAAAAATATATATAAAAGTTGGCAGGCAGGCAACTCTAATCATCATATTAGGCAGAGAAAGGAAGTCTCTGCAGCTGCGAGGTTCTGCTCCCATACCTGCAACTCTACTTCTTTCAGGGAGTTCTGCTCAGTACGCTGTGCTCCAGTTTGTATGAATAAAATCTGTTGCCAAACCCAGCCTCAGCCTAGCCATCGTACTAGGCCTAGTCAAGGTACTCAAGTTCTTATTTGCCACTTCCCCCTCCTCAGTAAGCAGTTTGGACTGTACTTTCAGAGAAAGACTCAGGTTCCCAACTCTAGACTGAGAAAGGGTTTGGGTTTGGTGGAGTATGGGGTGGGGGCGGGGAGGGATCTCAGAGGTGTATAATGCCATGAAGTCCACCCTCCAAAGCAGCCATTTCCTTCCAGGGAACTGATCCCTGTAGTGTGGAAATCAGTTGTAATTCCAGGAGATCTCCAGGCCCTGCCTAGATGTTGGTAACCCTACAAGTCAGCCGTGCTTTGAATATTACCGTTCTTTCTGGAACAGGTAATGGAATATTTGAGGTGAACCACAGACCATGCACAGAGTGCCTTTTCCATACGACTGAGTAATAGTGGCCTCCAAACCACAGAGGTGAGAGACTAAAATGCCATCAGTATAACCTCAGGTTGTAGGGGTGCCAGCCTTCAGGTGGTGGCTAAAGAACCCCTGAGATTTCAACTGGTCTCCAGGCAACAGAGAGAAGTTCCCCTGGAGAAAATGGCTGATTTGAAAGGTGGACTTTGCTGAAGTCCCTCCCAGCCCCAACCCGGCCCTCCCCATACTCCACCTGCATAATCTCCAGGAATTTCCCAATCTAGAGCTGGGAACCCGCAATCTAAGGCAGAACCATCCATTCCCTGCAGCTCTCTCCTCATGCAAACCGGATTACGCTACAGACTTCCATAAGCATGGGATTTTTTGCAGTTAATGCAGAAAGGTGCCTATTGGGCAAATAGTTTAAGGTGACTCACACAGAGGAGCCAAACCACTTGCGGCAGTGTAGACCACAATATTGTTGAGCAATCTGTGTCAACGGGCAGGCATTCAAGATCAAAAGTCACAGTTTCAAGGAAAGGAACCCTGGGCAAGCCCCTGAAGTTTGTTTTCTAATCAACTCCTGCTTGAAAGATCAAAAGAAAGTCAGGTTTCTAGTGACTAAAACTGCCCAGGTCAGCTTCAATAGCCTACCCAAGCAGGAGGAGTTTGGAGCACAGATGTGCAAGGTAGGTTGGCACTAGGGTTTCCACCCTTCAGGTGGTGGCTGGTGATCTTCTGGGATTACAACTGATCTCCAGGTGACAGAGATCAGTTCACCTGGAGAAAATGGCCACTTTGGAAAGTGGACTCTATGGGAGGGATGTCAAACATAAGGCCCAGGAGCCGGAACAAGCCCATCCAGGGCTCTTATGCAGCCCACAAGCAACTAGTGCAAGGGAGAGAACAGGAGACTGTTCAGGGCGGGAGTGGGCGGAGCCACTCTGATTGTGGCTTCAGCAGAGGTCATTTCGGGGGGGATCGCGGGGGATCACAGTTCCCCCTGGTGAGGTACGGGGGGCGGGGCACATGACGAAGCCCCGCCCCCTGCTTCCGGCCGCCCTGCTTCTGGCCCTCATTCAGCCAGGAGGAGGCAGGAGAAGAGGGAGGGTAAGATGCTTCCTCCCTGCATCTCCCCACCCCTGCCTGCCTGGGGCCAGGGAGGGCCTTCGCGGGGCATCCTTGCACTCCCGCCACGAAACGACCCCTGGGCTTCAGAATGGCGGAACAACCTCGTCTGCAGCAGTCGAGCAATGTGGGAGTGTCTGCCCAGTGCTGCACCACTGGCTCTCCAGCCTGCTCACTGGCTCTGACACTTCTGCTCTATGACATTGTACCCCATTGAAGTCCCGCCCTCTCCTCATCCTCTGCAGGCTCAAGCCCCCAAATCACCAAGTGTTTCCCAACCCCGGGCTGGCAACCCTAGTTGGCTCATGGCATGAGAGGGAGAGTTAAGTGTGAGCCGGTTGTGGAGACATCACAAATCAATGCAACCCCTCCCCCAGTACAAACAAACCAATTGTTCAACATTCAAGTGATTTCATGTATTAACATTTTAAAAACATTTTTTTTGAAACAGATCACTACCACTTGATGAAATGCTTATTAAATGTCAGTATCAGCATGTTAGTGTATTCCCCCTTTCCCTGGGTGTGTCAGAGGAACTAATATGAAGATTTGGCTCAGGAAATAGAATCAGGTTTATCTAGTGGTGAACAGTCTCACTGGCTATAGTTTCTATGTAATGTAGTGCCCAGTTTCCAAGCAGAGTCCCGGGGGCCATGTTGCAGCTTTAATCTCGGGGCAAGAGTTAAAAAGCAAGCCATTCTGCCAGACTCCATTCTTTTTTGCACAGTGTTTGCAACAGCAACAAAAAAGAGAGAGAGAGGCACAGATGAGGAAAGATCCCCGGGCTGGCAACCCTAGTTGGCTCATAGCATGACAGGGAGAGTTAAGTGTGAACTGGTTGCGGAGACATCATAAATCAATGCAACTCCTCCCCCAGTAAAACAAACCAATTGTTCAACATTCAAGTGATTTCATTTATTAACATTTTAAAAACATTTTTTTTTTAAACAGATCACTACCACTTGATGAAATGCTTATTAAATGTCAGTATCAGCATGTTAGTGTATTCCCCCTTTCCCTGGGTGTGTCAGAGGAACTAATATGAAGATTTGGCTCAGGAAATAGAATCAGGTTTATCTAGTGGTGAACAGTCTCACTGGCTATAGTTTCTATGTAATGTAGTGCCCAGTTTCCAAGCAGAGTGTTCCTCCCATGTCCCAGGGGCCATGTTGCAGCTTTAATCTCATGGCAAGAGTTATAAGGCAAGCCATTCCGCCAGACTCCATTCTTTCTTGCACAGTGTTTGCAACAGCAACAAAAGAGAGAGAGAGAGGCACAGATGAGGAAAGAGGAACTGCAGAGGCCCTCATCCCTTATTCCCATCCTTCCTGCCAAGTATCTGCCTGTAGCTTTTTAGCTTTTTTGTAGCACCATTTACCTTTTGGTCTTGGTACGTGCTTCAGGCTTATGAATCAACTAGCGACTGACAGAGTCCAGAGTACACACAATTCATTGCCTAGTCAGATGCGATGACTCACCATGAGTCACAAGGATTTCCCTTTTGTACAAGCTAAGCGTGCATTGTGTCAAATGTTCGTGAGGCTTGGTTTTTGCTGATAGTTGCCAGTGGGGAGGGGCGCTCTGCGTGAATGCAGTAATAAACAGGGGGGAGGGGAACCCTACCTTTCATGGGTTTGGGGGAGGGGGCAAGTGCCTTCAGCCCTAAATTTATTAATGTGAATCAGGTAATCTACAGTTATACTTAATAGACCCTGGCCTCCCTCCCCTCCCCCGTTATTTCTGCGGACCCCCTTGCTACTTCCACTCTTCCGTGGATTCTTTTCAGCTGCGGCCACACAGCCACCTGACCCTTCTGCTGCTTGGGAGAGGGTGGAGGGCATCCCTGTTGCCAAGGCAACCAAGCTGATGTTCTCTGGTGTTTGGATGTATATGCCCCATTGAAAATAATGCACTGCTGAGGAGCAGCGTTAAGAGGTGTAAGCGTAACCGTATCTGAATGGACATCCGAATGCAGAAGCCATTCCACTACACTTTGTTGCTTTCAACGGGACAAAGGTTGAGATGCATATACCTGTGCAAAGGATTGTCTGATGGCTTCCTTCAGCAATAGGGATGTGCTCTCTCTTCTCTAGGGCTGCTGCCTGAAGAGCTCCAAAATATGGAACCCTCTGAGGCACCATAATGTCATGTGTCAGTACACCTTAATAGTAATTAAGGACCACCAAATTGCAACTGATTTATGGTAATCCCTGAAGGGTTTTTCAAGGCAAGAAACAAACAGGTGGTTTGCCATTGCCTTCTTCTTCCACAGCGCTTTCCTTGGCGGTCTCCCATCCAAGTACTAACCCTTGCTAATTCTGTTTGTCCAAGTGGCATGAAAAATGGCCAAGTGGTAAGGGAGGTTCATTCACAAAAATGTTTGTGAAAGACACAAACTTATACCTCATTTTAGCTCAGCACTAGCTTCAGGTCATGATTGCTTTGCTGCAATCTTCAACTCACTTACTAGGAATGTACAAGGCATTCTGGGATACGTATCATATGTCTTCCCTCTTTCTGATGAAGAGAGCCCTACAGCTGTCTTCATAGTGAGGAAATGGTTAAAGAGCCAGCATGGTGTAGTGGTTGGGCTGGGATCTGGGGGACCCATCCATACCCTGCCCCAAAGCTTGTTGGATGATCATGGGCATGTCACTGTCTCTTAGCCTGTGAGGATAAAATAGAAGAAGGGGGTATGACGTATACTGCCCTGAGCTCCTTGGAGGAACAGCAGGATAAATATGGAATAAATACATACACGGCTGCTAGGGTTGCCGTGTCCTCCTTGTCCATTGGCAGGGGATGAGGAGTAGGGTTGCCAGATCCAAGCTGGGAAACTCCTGCAGATTTGGGGATGGAGCCTGGGGAGGACAGGGACTTCAGTGGGGTCCAATGCCATAAAGTTCACCCTCCAAAGCATCCATTTTCTCCAGGGGAACTGATCTTTGTAGTCTGGAGGTGACCTGTGATTCCAGGGGATCCCCAGGTTCTACCTGGAGGCTGGCATCCTTAGCCCTAACAACTACCTCACATTCCTTCAGCCCAATTGTGATTTTCTAGACCAAATACTGTGGGCCAGC